TTTGTTATAATAAAAATCTCTTTATGAAGAATTTATATGGAAAAAGGATGGGATGTTTAGTCAAAATGGGATTGTAAAGTTAATATGTGGAGAATAATTTAAGGTAAGACAGAATTAATTTCAACAATATGTTTTGTGAGGTTCTTAGGTAAACTTGTCCAAAAATGTGATGTATTAAATATACATATGCACAACCTGTACATGGTGAAGACATTATTTGTATTTATTAATTTACAGTGGACCGTTTTCACTAGAAGAAAAGCAAGGACAAATTTTTTCAAAAAAAAAACAAACTTGCTTTTATTATCCCTAGAGGAAATAAGTGTGTTTTACATTATATAAGCTGAAAAATATATTAAAATATTTACTTTTACTGTAAACAAAATACACCTCACTACATTTTGATTTCATAAACTCACTCCAATTTATAAGACTTTTTAAAGTATGAAAAATTATTTTTTCTATCAAGAATTTAGTCTTACCTTTGACATGAAATTTTATGGAGTGGAAATATGAGAAGCATTACATAAAATAGGCAAAATGTACAGAAGACAATGAGATGAGGAAAAGGACCATCCTTCATTTTTAACTTTGCAGATTAAGCATAAGATACCAGGCATATTAATCTTTCAAAGTAGTTCCTCACTCATCTCCAGGAATGATTTATGTCATCAAATCTCAAAGACATGATTTATGATTTAATGCATTTCATTTAGCACAAGAAGGGTCTTCTCTATCTGCCCACAAGCAAGTTATGAGAACTAGAGATGAGGCATGTTGGGATTCACACCAGCTACCCCCTACCTTAGTAGTGAAACCTTGCCAGTCTTGCCACTATGCGAAAGAGAACAGACACCTGGACCCAGGGAGCAGTGAGCAAGTGAATATGAACAGCCCAGAGATTCGGGATCTGAAAAGTGGAGTCTGTAAGTTTGGCCCTAGGACTATTTCCTGAGTTGCAATTCACAGGGTTTGCAGTGCAAAAGAAGCTATGGAACAGAAAGCAGAACCCTGAGCCCACCTCAACCCGAAATGCCACATTATCAGGTTTCCTTTCTCTTGCTTTCCTTTTAGCCCTCATAATCTTGTTAACCCCATGAGTTCTTTGTTGGAACCCCAATAGACTGCATGGAGAATGCTTTCAGCCTGCATAGCCTTTCAGCTGGAACATGCTTCCAAAGGGGTTTTTTTAATTCACTCAGATCAAGCAAAATATATGACCTATCTGTTCTTCTCAGTAATTTCTCTAGTGAGCATCAGGGAGAATTATGTATTGCTCTGACTCATGCAACCAAGTTATCAAGATCTAAGAGATCAGATGTCCCTATAATTTGTTCATTTTATCAGTTGCTATCCACGTAGATTGCAGATTTCTTGTGTACCAGACTTCCAAAGACTTTTTCTAAATGTCTTATTTTCTCAGTCTGAATCACAGTCCTGAAGGTAAGACAATGCTGTGAAGCCTGAGAGACCCAAGGGTTTTCTCAGATGCATCTCAAATGCACCTAACTTGATCTAGGTGATTAAAATTAAGGTAAAAAGATAGTGTCTAGATGTGTTCTGTATTGTGTCCCAGAGTCTGCAGGGTACCCTGTAGCACTGACCTGCCCCAGCATACCCACCATGGTTAGCCCTCTTCTCCCATCATCCTTCTGTCAGTTATAATTGTGTATTGATTCTTCAAGTCAATGATGTTTGTTCTGATCTGGTATTGTTATGCTGGTCGAACAGGGTAAAAAATGTTTGTCAATTCAAGGTGGGAAGTACCATGCGTAGATAGTGTCAGATATTTACCAGTTCACCTCAGACAGAAAATTCAGCCTCTACATATTGCAATTACTTGTGCAAGAAAAAATAGATTGTTTTTCTTGTGCTTGTATAATCCTTTTATCTTGTTCTTGTTCAACCTCTTCTTTAGTGTCTTTTTTTTTTTTTATTATTATTCCTTCCATGATCATCCGGTTAGGCCCCAAGGGAGGGTTGCTCATAAATATTTAGAAATCTATTTGTTTGCTAGAAATTAATTTCTTTCCAGCTACAACACTGAACAACATGCAACTGTAACAACCTGAACCTCCTACACTCTGTAATGCTGTTCTGCCATAGCCATTATTGTACCTTGTATTCCTATACTATGTTACATATGTCAGAAACCTAAGATGTAGGTGATTTCATGTGGTATAAACTTCTATATACGTTAGCAATTTTTAAATATATGTTTTAGATAATCTGGTAGAATTAGTCTCTGAAAGGACTTAAAGGGGAAAAAAAGGATGTATGTTTTGCTAAAACCAACATCCTAATAAAGCCCCAAAATAACATATAAAAAAATCAACCAAACAAACAAACAACAGTGAGGATTTATATAACCCACACTTCTTATTATGTATAGAAGCTAGTGGAAGCTCTTCAGGTACAGCAGTTAATGATTTCTGCAATATATTTACCTGTCATAAAATGTTTATAGCACATAAATGACATAAATGAAAGACATATTTTCATCAGAATTAAAATTAGACAAAATAAACTGATGTCTTTCTCTCCTCCAGCTGCAAGTTTAACTTCAAGAAATACAATAATCCAATGACTAATATTTTAAAAAACAACAAAAAAATTAGTATTTTCCCATTCTTATCCCCTTTATAAACTATATTCACAGTGAGGGAAAACCTACTGAAATTTTCCACTGAGCCAACTCATTTTAGATTCAATCTTTTTTTCCATGTAGTGTAGTGGATAAGTTTTGTACTGGATACCAAAACAAGAATGAGTTTCAAAAGTATACTTAGAAACAGTGTTCATTGAGGAACTCTTATTCCTGCTTTTGAAACAGATGTAATTTTATTTTTCTTACTTAGTGAGATTTAAGTTTCAAGTATGCCACACTCACTATTATTTTGTCTATTTAGAAATCTCAGTGAGATAATTTTCTTTGCTTATTTTTTCCACTTACAATGGAATTCAGTTTGCAGTAAACACTTACTTAGGTGAGTAAACTCTAGCAGTTTTCTAGTCTTTCTTTCTAAAGATGCTGTAGAGAAAAAGTTTGGTTTATTTGATTTCATCTTAACATGTTTGTGATGGATCTGATGGGTACCTGTGATGTACACACACACACAGTCAAAGATGACACTGGCTTAGATGCCTAATTTCAATATGGCTACAATTAGGTGGCACGCATCTCATTTTGTGTGAGACTCTGAGACAGGGTTTCTCTATGACTAAACACAGGAGACAAACGGACATACAGAAAATAAAACTTTTCCTTGAAAATCCTTCCCAGTCCTCCCTTTGGATAAGTATGGCAATACAACACTACCTGACTTAGATCTCAAGTGAACAATCTCTACCACTTTTCATGTCTTTACTACTGGCTTTCTCTATGATAATGCTGACTGGGAAAGGGCTGATTTATAGGAAGAAGTCTTTCCAGTGCTTTTGTTCACCATTTGGAGAAGAATAATGCCATAAAATGCCTCTTCTTTCCATAAAACTACAAAAATCCCAGTTAAAAAGTGGTTTATTTTCAAAAACAAAACAAGTCTTTGACCCACTTTTGCAAAAACCTAAATGAAATTATATCATGGGTAAGAGTTTAAGGGGAAGTAGAGTTTAGGGGGATCAGAGACAGGAAATGAATAGTAGCAAGGGCTCTGGGGTAGGTCTCACTATTTATCATCCAAATAGATATATCAAGAAGTAATGACACTGAAAGTTGGCATGGTTTGCTGCATTTTAAAACAGAAGCTACAGGATACACATGAAGACAGTAAGCTTTTAGTTCCTTTACTAGCTGTTTTTCATACCTTTATGTAATATTTATTTTTCATCTGTATCAATTTTACCCACGTACATCTCATCTTTGCTAATTGTGGCAGATACAGAGCAGACCAATGCAGTACGCTGTTATTTTTACCTGTTACTGGGCCATAAATAATGCAACCACTGAGCAAAGAAACTCAAGTTTCAGACGCTATGTAAGAAGTACACATGCCTAAAACACAGTGACAATACTAAAATGTGTTATTATGAACTTAATAGACACTTAAAAAAAAAAAAATAATAATAATTAGGCTACCACATTGTCCAAAGGCAGGAACTATTTTATAAAAGTATCTAAACACTGAAGTGACATGAAGTAGAATGTGAAAGCTTGTGGAAAGGAATGTTCATTGAACAAGTATAGTCAAGTTTCCCTGAAATATAGTGGAGTACTTGTCGATGTGCAGCTCACAGTTAAAGGCACTGCAAAAGTTAAAGGCACTGTACAGTTAAAAAAGTTAAAAAGTTAAAAGGCACTGCACAGGTAAAGGTATCTAGAAAACTTTAAAAAGTCCCACAAGAGGAAACACTGTTGATCATCCTAATCTATGCTGCTGTGAAATTGATCTCCAGAAGAGCTTCCAGCTAGTAGATAAAATTTGCAGGAACTGATACCAGTTGTTTTTTCCAGATGTCCCTGAGTTGATGCACTTGTATTTACAGTTTTGCCAGTGCTAAACATCCCATGTGTAACACTGTGGAAAGTCAGTACGCTCTTCTGCAAACATCAGCTGTGCTTAGCCAAAACCAATGTAAGCCTTCTTTTTGGGGAACAAGGGGATAAATGTAGACTACTCCACTATCTCTGCTATGCCTATCAAGTAAGTGGTCTTAGAGAAGTTATACCTTGCACTGGAATAGGGAACAAGAAATACCCTGTGCTGAAAGCCCCACTGTGGCTGTTTTCTTCACATGCATTCACATTGACACATACATTAGAGAGAATAAATCTGTTCCTGACCCCAGCAGATTTTGGCCCACAGTCCATGAAGTGGGGAAGACATATCGGGCTGTGCTGCTCAGCCAAAGGAGGGAGCTGACCACCTTCACCTGCCAGGGCTCTCCAGCTGGCCCCAAAAAGATGTCTTTCACATAAATGTCAAAGATCCACCACAGATATATCACTTTCAGGATACAACAGACAGGATATTTTTCTCAGAACTAACTGACTGTCTTACCTGAGGAATAGAGACTTCCCTTCACAAATAATACAGGTGACCAGGAGTCCTCAAAGTCAAATCTTTCTGGGTGCCTAGTAAAAAGGAATGTCAAATCTTGTTACTGACCAACAGCAATCCTACAATGATAAAGAGATAGACAGAGGTGTATATGTAAACTGTATTATTGTCTCCCTTTTTCTTCCCACTCAGTATTAAAAACTCCATGAAAGAACATTAAGCAGTGTTTTTTTTCTGCATCCTGCTGCCATTATTTGCCAGCCATCACTCCAAACACTCCATCCTCAGTCTGAGCAAATCAAAAGCTTCTCCCTTGATCATAGCAGAATGAACTCAACCTGATGAGGAAGCTGAAGGAAAGCTTTCTATAACACTACCCCTTCAGAATAATAAATGTTAGAATCCTTTTTGAATAAATAGCTGCTCGACTTCTGTTGGGAGATGATATGGTGAATGTCAGTGAGTCATTATGAAGCTTAAATGAATTGAGATTGTGCTACTGTAAAGATTCCTATTTCTGCTCCTAGCAAAATTATTAAGAGTAAACACATCATGAACTGTGTCAGACATGCAAAATTGCTTAAATGACTCAAAGGGACAGAAATAGAGAAAATCTTAATCTAAACCTTCCTTCTTTTTATTATTCTACCTCATTAATTAATTTTATTAGTGCTTCTAAAACCTGCAATGTTTACTAGTCCATGAATTGTCAGTTAAACAACTAATTTCAAATAAATAATGTGAGTTTTCAAATTGGCATTTTGCATCCCAGTGGAGCTCTTTAATTAACAATATATATCTTATATTTCGGGAAATATGCCAGCATGATGTACAGTCAGTAAACCAAAAGACACTCAATAATAATCAGTGAGAATAATATGTGCAGTGCAGATCTATTTCACAGTATTGCATATCTTAAAAAACTAAGAATCAACAGATAGCTATGACTGAATACATTACAACAATAACAACAAAATACATTACAATAATAACAACAAGACTATACTAGTAGGGAAATGGAGAAAAAAAAAAAAAGAAAAGAAAAATATTATTGGACTGGGAACTGTCTTCTCTTCTTCCCACTACCTGTTCAGATGTAGGACTGATATTTGGAAACTGTCAATTCCTAATGTTCTGCTCAATCTATCTATACTAAATTAGGAACACATCTATTCCTCTAATTTTGATTTGGTTTTATTTTTAAATATGCATAATACTTTAAATTTCTTGGAAGCTGATGATAAAGTTCATTCTATATAAAATGTGATATAACATAAACTGACTTTTAAGGCCAAATTCTGTTTCTGTTATTAATGTGGCTTAGTATTGCAGTTGTCTCAATGGCTCTATCTACCACATATGAAGCTATATACGCTATGATCTAAAGAACTGTGTAATGTATTAAATAATTGCATCAGACTGTATTTTTTTATTATTATTAAACTAATTTGCTTCGGAAAATTATGTTTTTCAGTGGAAAGTATCCATTACACAATATCCATTATTTCAAAGCTTCAGAGACTCCTGAAGTTATAGACTATTAAAAGTAACTTCAAACAGGAAATTATAACCTCTTATCCATGCTTGTTGTAGAAAGCTTAAATTACAAAGAAGATTTACATTAGAAGTTAGGAAAAATGTCTAATGGTAATAATAGTGAAGGTCTGATGTGACCTGCCTGAAAACCCTGTCTAGTTTTTGTCATCACAGGTCATTAAAAGAAACTGGAAAAGCATTTGTTAAGAACACTTCTATCTTTGGGTAGGGGATAGACTGGATGATTCACCAAAATCCCCATCAGCTCCTTTATGAGTATTTTATAAGAGAAAAGGGGAGTAACAAGTTACCCAACTTGAAGAACAATGAAAATGAAGACCCTTTTTATACTCTGAGGGAGAAAAAGTCTCTTGGGGAAACAACCATCCTGGTGCTTACATGGCCACTCACACATCAGCCCCTTAGTACAAGTGAGCATTTGCACTTAGGAACAATGTACCTCAGATATGTCCACCAGCTTTTAGACCAGATACTCAATGTGGTATGAAGGCACATGTGAAATTACCATAGTACATCATGTAGCATAGAGCTTGGAATGGCCAGTGTCAGTGGTGTCATTTACCCTTACATCTGTTGCTTCAGAGTGGTACTCAATTAAAAAGTTTCATTGTGGTTTTGACATTTTCTGGACTTGCTTATATATGATTTCAAATGTATGTGCACATATAAAACAAAAACAAAACAGAAACATTATTATGTTTTTTGTTTAATTCCTTATAATTTTCATGAAATGCAGAAAAAAACAATGGTCACCTAGCTTTCAAAACGTTCAACTGTAGATTGGTCATTGATTTCCTGGGCATAAGACAATGAAGCACCTGTCAGAATCAAAGAATAATGTTAACAGCTGGAATAAAAGTAGAGTTATTAAGTTCATTAGGACTTTTATAATTATATTCAAAAATGAAATTACATTAATTGTTGTGAAAAAAGAATCTTTATTTTACATTATTTATTTGCTGACATTAGCCACTTTAAAAAACACAAGGAGTAAAGTAAAAAAAGATAAACTCTTTCAGAATAATACTGCTGAAAATATTTTTTAGTGCAGAAGCCCACTCAACCTTAAAGGGAAGGATGGGCTAATAAAAAATAAAAAGAATCAGCATGAAATTTGATCACAGTGGGATGGTTGGATAGATTAACTATCATGAAGTGCAATTAAAACATAATAAATTGTTATAAACAGGAACTTTATGCTAGAAAAATATATTAAATTTCACCTGCTTTATCCAAGCATAAACAGATTTTGGTGACCTGACCTCCTGCATTTCTTTTATGTCTAATATAAAACTTTGAAGTGTGTCAGCAATTAGGGTCATGAAGAAAGATAAAAATAATAAAAGTGTGGGAGGACAAGTTCTCTCAAGAATGCATTTTCACATCTCTAAACACAGAAAGTAATTGCTTGTTGAGCATGGCCTTGTATTTTTAACTTTAGAATGAAAAAAAGAAACAGAAAAAGGTATTTCACCTGTGATGAACTCCTATTTATTTCCAATTTAGAACTCTTACAAGTAGAAGCAAAGCCAAAACAATAATTTGTATGAACAACTTTCTTTAGTTGAGAAAACTTTATAATAATCTCCCTTGTCTTTTCACAAGATTTTTTTTTTTTTGGTTACTCTTTTATTTATTTTTAGCAAACCTATATCACAGTAGCTTTCCTTTTTTTTTTTTCTGCAGAAAGGCAGATGTTCACTCATGGAATATGTGTTAATAGCCTTGCTGAAATGATTTTAGATCTTCTGTATGAGAGGAGATTTACTTTGCAGACGTCATCTTGGTCAGATCCATCAGCCAGAGAAAATAATCATGTCTATTTTTAACTCTGATGGAGTCATGCTGTTACACATTCAGGATTTGTTTCTTTACCACTGTAGAGGTGCTGTGTAGGTACTCCCTCTGAAAGAAATTATAAAGTTCCTGTGATTTTAACATCATAGATTGAATGTCTGACGATCTAACCTTATATGCCAGGTCACAGAAATGTGTATCAGATAAACAGGTAATCAGGTATGAGAAGTATTTCTTGAATACAGAAATTTTTTCACATTTCATATATTGATTTATATATTGACTAATGTAAATTGATGAATAAGATGGAAAATTATTGATATCAATGCTGAAAACCAAAGACGTTATCATAATCAAATCCAGCCACAGGAAATCGGGGAAAAAAAATGGCCTTACGCTAAGGTTTGAAAAAGTAGTACTCTTAGTAAACAAACATACACATGTACTCATAAGAGTGCAATTTCAAAGCAATTGAATAACTTTTAGCCATCAAAGAATACAAAGGCAATTTCATCCTTCAAAGTCTCCTTTCCTGAATCAATTTGTAATTTAGAATAAGCCTGCTTCATTATAATCAGAGACCTAGAAGTATACCATACTTCTTCTGCTATCCCCAAGTCCCTCATAATTGCTACCTACTCTTTCCCCTCAGTATTAATCTGCTGCTTCTGTCCTTTGGCTCTCAGCTGGAATCTGACAAACAGACAACCTAACCTTTAAGAAAACACTGCTAAAAACTGTTCCAAATAAATCACTGGCTTGTGTGACATAACATTTGGAAAGCTGGACAAAGTTCTACACATTGCATTTTGAAAGCTAAATCTGCCTTGGTGAAGGAAACATCTGCACCACCTACTATGTTTTTTCTATCCTTAACCTTGCAGATTCCCTAATAACTTATAATCGTTGAAAAGAGATATGGGTAACTGAGTCATTCAAAAAGTCTGGGATGCATAATAATCTGCATGCAAAGCAGATTAGAAATTATTTATTTAAAACTAAGTGGTGAACCTGGAAAAATGGCCTGTCGTTTCTGGAAGAACAGTCTTGTCAATTCCTACAAGGAGAAATTTCACATTCTTACTGCTGACAACTGTTGTAGAGTATATTTTGGAGATGACCTGTATGTGGGACTGGACAGGAAAATACAGATATACTCTGTCATCCACTTTATCTTAGGTTATAGACTGTGCTTTGTGCACAAAACTGTGTAAAGAGGTGAGGTTTTTGCCCACAGAAAAAAACAGAAACTACAATTCATTGAGGCTTTATTTCTTCTTTAGCTTACACTATTTACATTTCTTTCTATATATACACTGCAAGTGGCTTGTTCCTCAGTCAGATTATTCAGATTTCTTCTGGTTTTTGTTTGTTTGTTTGTTTGTTTTTTCTTTATACCTCATCAACTGACCCCTGGCTGCTGTTCTTCCAAATGAAGTTGAGCAGAAAAAATTATTTCACAAACTTCCATCACTCAGTGGTACACAACAGTGTTCAATGCATAATCCTATCCATTGTAATATTTTCTGGATGAGGACTTACTCCATAAAGCTAATCCTATGGGTATGATTTGTTTCTAGACGAAGATCTTGGAGGTGCTAGTACTTGCTCATCTACCTTTGGCAGCTCTTTGTCTTGCCATGTGCTGTGGTTTTTGGCCTCTGCATATTCTTCCACCTTGGACCAGGGTACAAACTGGTCATCAAACTCTGTAGTGGAGTATTCTGAGACTCTCCAGCTGGAGCATGTTTCATTTATGAACAGCTTTGTTTTAAAGCCCTTTTCAAGGAAACAGCATAGCTAGAGCTTTCTAATTTGCATTTATCTTTTTTCTACTGGCAATGCTGAGCCTCATACAGAAACTGACAAGTAGTTTTTGAAGGAGGAAGGGCCTAAGGCCCATTTCACAGCACTATAAAGTATGAATAATCCTTCATTTACATTGTAATACTTCCATATGGTAAGGGATATTTCGTCACTACCTGTTATAATAGTAACACTCCAGGGTAATGCTATACACATTTCATTTTTAAAACATCTGTGGAGTATTGATTTACAACATATTTGTGAAGCTTCTGACACATTTTGGGATCAGTTATCTTAATAGACTGCAAAGAGTATTCTCAACATTTGTAAATAGATAATCTCAAAAGCCTCTATCAGGTAATTGCTTGCCTTATACAGTATTACTACCTTTGGAAATAAACATTAATTATGTAAATGTATTTGCCTTATGAGTTAATATTTTTGTATTATAAATGCTTAGTAGTGGGCACTTCTTAGTATTCAAGTTGCCTAAATTTAAGTAAACATAGCTACACTGGTTTCTTAAAGACTATCTTGCTGTTCATCCAACCTGAGGACTCTGACTTGAACAGTGTTCTTTAACAGTTTTCTTCATTATTTGCTTTTTTTTTTTGGCCATTTTTTTTTGCTGCTTTAGTTCTCTGAACACTTCAGGAAAGGTGTTGTAGTTGCTGAAGCATTGCATCCTTCTCTAGATATAACATGGCTGGAGGGTGTCACAGTCCTTCAGTTGAATACTACAGAAGTTTTGCTGGCAGACTACCACAGCACATTGGCTATACTTAATGCTTTTGTTCTGCCTCAGTGCCTATGTGAATCCTTTGTCCTAAACTTAGTGTCAATAGTTCATTAATTCACTCATTTTAGCTGAAAGGCAAGTCCTTCGCTTTCCACAGCACCTGAAATTTCAGGCTGTACATTTTCCTTGCTCTGCTACATCTTATGCACATCCTTCTATGGGTAATGTGTTCTTAGTTAAATTATAATTTGGCTTTGCTTAGTTGTGTTGTGCTTCTTGAAAAAAAGTGAGAAAGCTGTTTCAGGATACAGTAACCATCCATACACCACTCTCTACTTGGCCTTCAATTACCTGTTTGTTTTTTATTCTGCTAACTTGTCCTTATATGTTGTGCTACTGCACACTCTACAAACCTTTTATTTTTCTGCACTAGTTACATTTATGCAAAATCTCATCCTTCAACTAATTGCTTGTGTCCCCAGTGTGATGAATTGCTTTCCTTCTCTTTTCTTGTCTTTGTGCTCTGACATAATGGGTTTTAGGTTATAATTAACCTAGAGCTAGGGCATTTTCCATTACAGTTTCTCCATACCTTCACAGGTTTGCCTTTGCATACTGTCATCACTGCTTTATACTTTTAAATTTTCTTCTGCACAGATTTTGATGTCTTTCCCCCTTTATCTTCATAATTTTTTGTGCCTGTGTATGAATTATATTTGTGTCTATTCCCTTTGTGCTTTATATACAGATAGAATTTCTTCTCTGCTTTGTCCTGTTTCAGTAACTTTTGGATAAGCTACTATGGGAGCTGAACATTCATATGCATGATCTCATTATTAATTTATGCTAAATTGTTTGCTCTTTTTAACACTAGTCAGTCATTTCCATATAGTCTGTCCTTATACAGTATTTTTTTCCCCCAGGTACTTGCTTATTCTTTTCAAAAAGCTATCTGCTTCACACACATCTTATTGTGGTCTAAAAATGCTCTCACAGTTCTGGGCAGAATCAGCCATCTCTACATAGACTGCTGACACAAGAGGCACCTTTGACTGTCGGGGCTAATAGTAGAGTTCATTATGCTTTCTTCTGATTAGGCAGACAAGACATGCAGAGATACCATTAGTATGTTGCAAAAACAGTGGTTCATATTCCTTCACTCACTCCCCCAAAATTTTCTGCGTCTACAGAAATTCAGAAGATGAGGAAGGCAAGAGAGAGTGCACGTAAAGGTCTCCACAGGACAGATAGACACATGGACAAAACCAGAGACCTAGAAAACAATTATCCAAAAAATACCCTGTGCAATTCCTTCAATACATAGGAGTGAAGATGCTAAAGTGTTGGTAAATGTCATTCTAGCATAAAAAGTGTAAGAAACAGTTAAGAGAACTCAGTTCATCACCTGGCAACTGGATTTCTCACCTTCCTGGGAAGAAAACATCTGTCAATGTCATGAGTATAATGCTTGTGCTG